GTACATCACCGGCTATGGTCCTGAGCAATAAAATTGGTGACTTTTTGACTATATATAACAACATCAACACCTATTATTCTTTGACGAGATGTTAATATATTTATATGCCATATTTGAAATACTTTCCCCCAATGTTGACTCTTGCGGTTCACGATTGTGGTATATATATGTATACATACACGTGCATTGACTACCTGTTAAGAGCAAAAGGTTATATAAGTGGATACCAAATTCACTATCTATGGTAGGGATATTAAACCCGTTAATTTAAATCGTGAAGAAGTAAACAAATCATGCTTTAATCATGATGATAAAATGGACTCGAGAGAAATAATGGAATAAGTAATACAGCTTTTTGTGCACGTATCTTCTTATGAACAAGCTAATATGTTTGGACTTTTTGCTGAAATATGCCAAATAATACAGGCTTAAAGCTGAGATGTGGTTGAAATGTGCTAATTTTGATTCCTCACATCAACAAATGGAGAAAAGGTAAGTGATTTGACAATGTAAATTCTATAGCAATTCAGATCCAGTTTCTTTCCTTCGTACACTTAAAGAACCATTTTCACAATGTGAAAGTGGGAGGTATAGAAACCATATATTGAGGTGCATAACTACGACGGTCATGAGATTCTCCACCCACAAAAAGGCCGTTATTTTTTAAGGATGCTGTGGTCAAGTGGGCTCTGATAGATGGTGGGTTCAGATTTGAATCGTAAGTCATAACCCAATATGATGGAGTTATTCTACTCCTTACATCATTCCGCGAGGGGTTTTAATGTCTTTTATCTTCCCACTTTTTATAATAATATTGTAACATATTTCTTAGTTAAAATATTCTCATAAATTTACTAGCGAAAACAATACGGGAGAATCTCTACAGTTTTTTTTTTAACAAAACAACACTCAGTTTGAAAATTTTTAAAATAAGCTTTAAATCTATTAAGATAGGAAAAATTCCCTTTTATATGACAGAATAATTTTTTTATATATATTTTTAAATATTTTGTGGTAAATGAGAAATTTAATTTCATGTTCCTATATTCAATGTAAAAATAAATGGCTATATAATTCAACTAACTGACAATATTTGCTTAAATTTAAAATATTTTTTATTATAAAATTTAAAACTAAAAGATATATTTAAATTTAATTTTTGAATATCAGCTTCAGGTTAGCCTTACCAATATATTTTTTGTAATTATGATGTAGGTAGGGATAGAAATAGGTCAGGTCGCCTGACAGGAGCCTGTGGCCTAGCTTGGTTTTGGCCTGACCTGGCCTGACCTTTTTAATAAACAAACCAGGCTCAGGCCTTTTTTAAGGCCTGTTTAATGTTTAAGTAAACAAGTTAGGCTTGAGCTGTTTATAAAGCCTGTTAAGCCTGACAGGCCGGCTTGTATAAATATATATATATATATATATATATAATATAATATAATTTAAAAATAGAGCTATCAAAATATATTTAAATAATAAAGTTATTTTATAATATATTTTTATATTCTTAATACTGTTATTATTAAATTAATATATTATTTTATAATTTTATTTATTTATAATTATAATAAACAGAAATTATATTATATTAAAAATTAAAAATATTTATATATGATTACACTTTTTAAATAATAAATTTATTTAATAATAAATTATTATATTTAAACAATTTAAAAAATAGTTAAGTCTTTGAACAAGAATAAGAGATAATCAAAACTAAACGAAATAAAATTTAAAAATAAAATAATAAAATTATATTAATATATTTTTTATACTCTTAATTTTATTATTATTAATTTAATTATTATATTATAATTCTTTTTATTTATAATAAATAGAGATTGCTTAAATCTGAATTATATTTTATTTGAAAGTAAAAATTTATAAAAAAATAATAACAAAATAAAATAAAAAATTTATTATAATATATATATATATATATATATATATATAATCAGACCATGTAACAAATAATATAAATAAATTATATAATAATATATATTTTTATAACTTGCACATGTTTTAATTAAATTATTAGTCAATTTATCAATTTATATGTAATTTATAAGTATGTGTTTTAATTTATTTTATCAGTAATATTTTCTATATTACATTAATATTATAGTGTAGTTAATTTTACATTTATTTATTAATTTAAAATAACAAATTAATGAGACAAATAAAATTAAATATTTTGTAATTATTTTTTAATTTAATAGTTATTATTGTTTTCATTTTATATATATAGTACATTAAGTTTAAATTTTTATATTAAGTTTTATCATATATTTTTTAATTAAGATAAAAATTTAGAAATATAAGTTATTTTAATTTAAATATAAATTTTAATAATTCTTTCTATGCTCATATGTTATTTTTCTTCATCTATAAATTTTATAATATAAGTATTTATCATCTACAATTTTTATAATGACGATATTTATTTACTTTTTAAAATATAATAATTTTTTTTAGCTGATTCAATAAATTTTATAAGTTTTATTTTTTGTAATTATTTTTTAATTTAATAGTTATTATTATTGTCATTATATATATATATATATATATATATTACAGTAAGTTTAAATTTATTTTTTTAAAACATATAATTTTCTTTTAATTGATTCAACAAACTGTGTGAATGTTATTTTTTTTTTTTTATCAATTTTATGTATTTACTATAACTTTATTTGTTGAATATAAAATGTCTTTAAGTAAACAAAATATGTTTCTAAAATAAAACTAAAATATTTACTATTTATATAATTTTAAAAAATAAATAAAAAATATAAATATAAATTTTATTAATATAAAATATTTATAATTAATACTTAAATAATATTTTAAAAATTATTTATAAAATTATATAAATATTATTATAATTATTTAATAATTATTAAGAACATATATAGAAATTAGAAAAATGTATAAACTAATTTAATAATAAAATATTTATATTTTTATTAATATTAAATATTTTTAACAGGCTTTGTTAACAGGTTTCAGGCCAGGTCAGGCCTAAAATAAAGCCTTTAACAGGTAACAAGTCAGGTTTAGGCCTAATAATTACGTTACAGGCCAGGCTTGTTTAGAGTAAAGCCTGGCCTGACTTGACCTGTTTTCATCCCTAGATGTAGGACTGATCGAACAACGTGTCACACAATTTACATACTTTTCAACTTATTTTTATTTAGCGTCAATTAAGGTTTTAATCTTTTAAAATTAATTTTTTATTAAATCTTTTATTTTAAGTTTTTTCAAAATAATTCTTCCATATTTTTATTATAAAATACTTTTATTTATTTCTTTTATTTCTCTAAATATGACGGGTTTCCTAGTTAGTCCCTCATTTTAGGAAATTATACAAGAAATTATGATATTCATGATAATTAAGTAGAAAATTTATGATAAATAAAAAAATTGTAATATTTAGAAGGACTAAATAAAAACAAAAATAAAAAAGAGGTCATTTAATAAAAAAATATATTATAAAGGATTCATTTTTAAAAAGATCAAATAAATAATTATGATTTTTATAATACCAAAAATTTACTTAAGCCTTTATTAATATATTTGGACACTTGAAATGGTCGATGTTGTTATCGCTGTCTAATTACATTTTTTAACTACATTTTGTCCAAGCTTTATGTCCATAAAATAAATCATTTTATAGAATGAAATATCAAATAATAAATAGTGATAATTTAATAATTGGATGGTAAAAAAATATATTTTATATAAAATTATTAAGCAGTATAAAATATTAAGTCTTATACCGATATAAACTACTGACTCCCCGTGTGAATATGCGTGCATTCATACTAACCACTTATGTATTGCGAAACTAGTGAAGTATTTCAGTTTGTATTTTGCTTCGAAATTTTCTTTTTTCCTAATATTACTAAGTTGAGTAAATTTTTCTTAAGTTGAAGTATTGTAGCTTTTAGAGTTGAGATTGTCAAAATCAAAGTTAGAAAATTATGGTAATGGGATACTAGGTACTCAATTTTTAGAAACTAGTTGCGGCAAAGAATATTCAGAAGATAGTAAAAATTATGTAGAGTGATCTAATAGACAGAATATAGGCCAAGTGTTGCTTTGTAGCATGTTTTAATCAATAAATTTCTCATTTATTGCTTTCTTTGCCACTTTATTGAAACTTCGTTATGCAGCACAATACTTGAGACTGATTGCTTCATTTACTTCGTTAGTCAGATCTGCTTTGCTCCTCTGTTTAAACAATAGGTAATTCTAATTCTGGCATTAGATGACTTAGTTGTGTTGTTTGTGATTGCATATGATGCAGTGTTGTCAAGTCTTAGTTCAATAAACCCACTTTTGACAACTAGAGAATGCATAGAATTTGATGTCTCTTTTCTAAAATCTTTCAGAAGTCAGACAATTGTAGATCCATTATCTCATCCTATCGGAGAATGGGAACCATGAAATTTTCGTTGTGTCTAGGCATGAAAGATGTTAAAAAATTTCCTTATTTATAACACACGCATCAAGTAGATTTTTCCTTTTAGGAAGAAGACTAAACATTTATCTTAAACATTGTGTCATATACAAATTAATACCTTAAACTTTTATTTCAGTTCAATTAATCCTTAAAATTTTACTAATGTTTTGTAGTAGACCCTTTTGCTTACTTAAAATTTAAGTTACTAATGTAAATAAATTTGGACCTGCATGTTTTTATTGGAAAGAAAATATATATAACTACCTTAAAGTTGGTCTTTTACGGGTAGACATCTTGAACCAATCCTTCTCTTCATTCACCCTTAGTAAGAATTTAACAATTAATTAGGACAAAATAAAAGCCACTGTAAATCAGTTCGTCTAAGGCTTAAGGTAGTTATATTATTTTTACCCTTCTTTTTATATAACAAATCTGTACAGTCTGTTACTGATCGAATGATCCAAGCAAATTTGTCTCTATCTTGGTTTTGCAGTACAAATTGGAGGAAAGAAAATGAAAAACGCAAATGCTTTATAACTGCTTAACATTGTAGAATTTGTTCCTCAGTAAAAGTATGCATACAGATATGATTATTTAGATACCAACTTTCATTAAAAGGACTCCTATAAAATAAAACAAAGGAACTCATGACAAAATTTGTCTTCAATACATTTAGCTACAGATATGATTGCTTAGATGCCAATATTAATGAAAAACAAGAAGGAAATACATAAACACCTGTAATTGATTCAAAGAGAAACATATATCTACATCATTATTGTGCATCTAATAGTAGAAAACCCGAACTAAAATTGTCACATAACAATAATAGCATAGCATGAATATTGAACTACTTTGTTTAACAGAAAGTTTGATTAAACTGGGACTGTCCTAGCAGACCCAGCGGCATCTATAGCCTCAGGACTATCTTCTTCATTCTCCCCACTCAACTCTTCCAGTGATTTTCCCTTTGATTCTGGTACTAACAAGGTGAATAGCATTCCTAAGAGGTTGACCACACCAAGCACAATGAGGGAGTTTTTAACCCCAATACCAGCTGGGTAACCTTGATTTTTCTCGGCGTTCTTACTTTGTGAAGCATATAAAAACCCAAATGCACCAACAATTGCTCCTGCCTTTCCTGCAGCAGCTGAGATTCCATGACAAGTAGATCTTAGCCTAGCTGGGAAAATCTCTGCTGGCACAACAAATGTGGTGGCATTTGGACCAAAATTGGAGAAGAAAAAGGTGAGGGAGTACATCACAACAAACCCAATTCTGTTGTCTTTCTTGGTCCAGTGATCGTAAGGTATAGCAAGAGCAAACATGAAGACTGTCATGAAGAAGAAACCCATCAGTTGGATTGCGAAACGGCCCACAACATCAATGAAGGCCACTGTAAACCAGTACCCTGGTACGGTACTGCACAGTGCTATAAGTGTTTGTGCTCTTGCAATCCTGTAAACTTCATGGATTGCATTCATTTGTTCTGAAGGAGGGATCCATCCAATGGCACTGAAAATGTCCTTTTGGAAAAGGTTCTGGCTATAGAAGGCAATGTCTAGCAAGAACCAAGTAACTGTGGTTCCCACCAAGTGCATCCCATGACGTTTGGCAAATTCCTTGCTGAATAAACCATACTTTTGGTTTTGATTCTCAACCAAATGATGCAACTTCTCCTCTTCAGCTTCAAGTTCAACTTGTAACACTTTAGACATGTCTGAAGCAGCTTGTTTTGCATTCCTTGCAACAAGGGCTGTGTAACGAGCTGTCTCAGGCATTTTCATACGCCAGTAGTAGGTAAGAGCAGCTGGAACTGCACCAAACATCAAAATGATACGCCAAACATAATCAAAGGAATGTACTATTGATTTCTCTGGGTTTTCTGCATAAGTAGGTAGGTTGTATTTGTGGTCATACGCAGAGGAGACAATCAAGGCAACTATTCCACCACCCAAGATTCCAAATCCTTGCATGGCAAAAACTGCCGCAATAAATGCCCCTCGTGTCTTTTTGTTGGCATATTCAGACATGATTGTAGCAGAAAGAGGGTAATCACCACCAATCCCAAAGCCAAGCCAGAACCTAAAGAAACAAAGGGTGACCATGACACCCTTGGGGGTATCTCCAAAAGATAGCCCCGAGGCAATGGAACAAACCACCATGAGCATAAGTGTTATGCCATAAACCTTCTTTCTTCCCAGCTTGTCACCAAGCCAACCAAAGAAAAGCTGGCCTGCTAAAGTGCCACATAGTGCAACACCAGTCACAGCAGCTTGCACATTAGGAGGAAGCACACCTGGCTTTTTTTGGGATGTGTCGGTGTAATATATCCGCCCCAGTAACTTGGTTACAAGGGAAATGCAGAAAAGATCATAGGCATCAGTGAAGAATCCCATTCCAGCAATCACAATAGCAGTGAAATGGTACCATTGTGTCTTAGCCACATCGAGCGCATTAAGCACTCCTAGGTGTCCTTCAGCCATTGCTAACTCTGCTACCTGATATGCCCCAAGCAGTGATTACAAGTTTCCTGCAAAAGAAAAAAATAACTATAATCTTCTGTATATGCCAAATATTGGTAGGCAATTCCATATTCTTCTTCTTATCAATACTTTTTTTTAACAAAATTCTTGTATAGTCAACCACTGGTATTTTTAAATTAATAACATAGAATGAAAGATGTAACGAGTTCCACACTTATTGTCAAGTAAAACAATCGATAAAGCATAGTGAAGTATTTATAAAAAAATTAAAAATTTCAATGGAGGTTTGAAAAAAAATGCAGCTGATGTTGATTTTTCCCAGGCTGATGCAAGTAATTGATGGAAAATGTTTACTTTGGTATTAACAACTATATTCTTAGTCAACAGCCGGACAAAGTTGAAAATTCCTAAACAAGAACTATTATCTTAATGTTTTAAATGAATTCGACTCTTACTAAGAAAGACTCAACAGTACCGGTTCCAGACAGCCTCTCGTGGAATGTATCCTTCACATATAAAATTGTGTTTAAGATTAATGGGTAAGACCCTATCAAAATAAAAAATATTTATATCTATTCTTGTTTATCATAAGGTTTCAACCACTTTCCCCAGACTTGCTTATGAATATGGCTTTAACGGTTGAATCTATGAGCCAACTTCATGATATACCACGGCAAGGAAAAGTTGGTTTGGTAATACCCCTGAACCACACTTTAGAAAGTAGGAAATTTGTAGACAATTTGGTATTAGTTAATTTTCTACCAAACTAAAAGGAAACGGTAAAAGAGAGAGAGAAGAGGGTGGGGAATCTGGGAAACCTAAGCAAAGACGCTACCAAACCATGAATATCAGAGGAAGCACAAGCACCGAAAAAAGATTTGCCATTCTAAATTGTAAAAATAAAATAAGCAAAGAAATCAGAGGAGGAGTAATTTCGTGAAGAAATTCATAAAGAAAGTGAAGAGAAGGTTCGGTTTTTGTTTTCGGGGTGGTTGGTATTGTTTCATGGGGAATAAACACAAACTGAAGAAAAGAAATGGTAATTAACAAAAAGATCTATTCTTTTTGTTTGTTTGTTTGCTGGTTTCACTTCTTGGGTAAAGGGTTGCAAAAAGAGTGATGGAATATCCAGAGACAAAAGTGAGGGGCTATGGTGGCGATGAATTATAGTATTCTGATATGGATAAAAAGAGGTCCTAGATTTTGAATGGTGGAGAGATAATCATTAGCATATTATTATATAATCCAGAAAGTTGGAGTTGTGTGTTTGTGTGCTTAAAAAAGTGGGCCTCCCACTAAGGAAGCTCTTCCACTGAGACAGGAAATCTTTTCAAGTTCCATGCATCACCCAAAAACTACATACAACAACACGTTCCGTTGAGGATAAAGGTTCTCACCTGCTATCGAGCTTGCCAAGAGAGAGAGAGAGAGGGAGCAGAAGTTGTGCTGTAGATGAAGAAGTACAGAAAAAGAAAGGGGGAGTAGATGTATATATACGCACAAAGCTGTCACCAGACACACAAAGTGGCTTAAAAATCCAGAATGAACGCAAGTATCTGTGGTATATGCGCATTCCTAGACTTTGTAGTTCACACTTTGTGGTCAACGCCTTCACAAATTGCTTGCTTCATCCATGCCCTTTACATCCCCCTTTTCATACTTCCTTTAAATTATTAAAATAAAAACTCTATCTTATCATTTACTTTATTGTTGTTTTCTTCTCCTTGGGTCGACGTCCGTTGCCTTCTCTGTCTCTCGTAATTTTCTGTCCTCTTTCTTCCGATTATTTTTTTATTTTTCTTTACATTTTTATGCAGCATTGAAATTAATTTTCTAAAATTTAAATTTTAAACATTAATCCTTTAGTTAACAAGTTGCATACAAAAATTATAAAAAGGATTATAAATGTTTTTTTGAAACAAGAATCGCAACAAATATGATTTTTTTTCTTTGAAGTACTTACATTCATATGTTATTTTAAAATTTAAGATATTAATAATTATTGTTTTCTAATTATACTTCGCTTTTTATATTTGTCGAAAAGATAAGGAAAAAAAAAAAGAAAATATGTATAAAATGTTAGAATAATAAATAAGAGAGGTTATGTTTTTTTTTTTTTTTAAATGGCGTGAGTGACTGTAAATCACTGTTAAAAATGTTTAAAAAAATGACAGATTAAACAGTGAGTAAGCACGCAGATTTTATGATTGTACGCCAGTCAATCATACCGATACAGGTAGGTCCATTCCTAATTTTAGTGTTCCCCACCCAGCTTAGCTGCACCTCTTTATTGCCGCATCCACGAAGAAATAGGCGAATCAGCTCATTTATAATTTTATATTTTGTTTGCATGAAAAGAAAATATAAATAATAATATAAAAATGAGAAACAGGATTTGACTTTCAGAAATTACTTTTTTTTTCCTCTTACTTTAAATTTTCATCTATTTTAGAGTAATAATATGACCCAAAACTGCTTACCGTTATACTTCTATGGGCATGATTGATAACATTTTATCTTAATTTTTTAAAAATTTTAACAAACATGCTTAAATTTTGAATACTAAAATAAATTAATTCAAATATGTGCTACAGTATTTTACAAGGAACATATGCAGTGGCATGAATGGAACCTAAACCTCGAGTGGGGTGTTGTAATGTTTTGCTAGTTCCATTAGCTCTCAGCGATTTAACTCACTGCTTTTTCTTCACTAAACTTTCATTAATTAAATTATTTGTTTTTCTTTTTAATTTCACTGATCTCCGATCCATGGAATAGATAGAGACAATTATTCACTTTTATAGTTTTTTTTTAAATAAAAAAAAAGAAAAATTATGAGGAAAACTCTCATGAGTGATCCGAAACATAATCCATCGAGGTAACAGGAAGATTTGAAGATTTAATCCCGAAGAGACGAAAAAAAATAAATAAGCAATCATGTACTTCCATTATTTGACTCAATTATTCCAGGTATTAATCGGTAATTTTAAAAGGAAAAAAAAAACAAAAGGATAAGAGAGTACTTAAGGTACCAATCGGTGAGCTCAACTTACGATAGACTGCCGTAAAACTCCAATTATATTAGATAAATACACTATTATAGATACTTTTTGTGTTTCTTTATTAAAATAAGGTTTTATTTCTAATATGTTTAATACAGAATGCAATAATGCTTTTAAAGAAGAATATTTATAAAAAAAATAGAATATATATATATATATGTAACATAACAGGTTACCGAAATTCGACACTCAATCGGATCAAAGTAACTTTATGTCACCACGCTTGGTCAGCTTGACAGTCTTGCCCAACTTAAAACCAGTTCTACTTAAAAGAGCTCAGATGGATAGAAAGGGGTTGAATTATGCGTAACTTTATAAGAAACATCTCGGATTAACTCTCACTCACAAATTTTAATTTTAAAAAATAATTATTTAAATCTTATAAAAATATCTCATTTTAGCATTTGAAAAAACAGTTGGAAAAGTTCTGCTTCTCAATGTTACTAGTTGGTCGCAATTATTGCTTTGCCGCCGTTACGTTGCGCAATCCAGTTAAAACAACCATTCCGAAGGATGATTGTGTGCGGGCAGACATAACGGCGCCGAGAAAATCTAATATGTCAACGCACCACTCCATCGCTCTCGTCTATATACACCATCTTTCATCCTTTTGTAAACTTCAATGGCCACCCTCCACAATTTCACTATTCTAAATTTCAATTTATAAAATCAAAGATACAGATTAAAATAATCAACTTGGCAATAACTTTCATTTATTCTGCCATTTTTTCTCCTTTAAGGTTGGTTAATAAAAAAATTATATTTTTAATATCATAAATATTATTTTAAAATGGTTAAAATTAATCTTTAAAAGTTTATTTTGATGAAATAATTTTGAAAAACCTTAAAAGCCAAAAAACCAGAACAGGGATGAAAAAAACCTTCCGTCGATACTAAGTTAAAATATCTTAACAATAAAGATTCGCTAACGATACGGAAGAAGTCTTTAATTGACTTGAATAACAATAGCAACACCATAGGTTGAATACGCACAGATTTAATCCCCTTTTCTCCGGTAATATAAGTGAATAAAGATTTGTCATAATCTTTAAGAAAATAAAATTATTCAAAATCTTAAAAGATTATGATTTGACGACGGCATCTGCAACTGCGTATAAATGATCATGCTACAATGTATGTTATGTACTTTATATTTATCGTGTGGATTGATAAACAGTTTAAATAATTTATTGTTTCCTTTAACAGGAAAAAAAGAGATTGACATCAAAATTAAAGAAATTGATATATGAGGAATTGTTTTTGCAGATTTTGGATAACAGTGAGATTATGATCTTTCAGTATTTAAATAATACATACGCTTCAACCGTCCTTAGTAGTAAACTAATGTTATTAATTGGAGCTAGCCCAAAGGGTAAAATCATAAAGTACTTGCTTAGGTTAGATCTTATTTTTTACTTATCAATAACATTTTATTGTATTTACAAAAAATGTGATAAATAATACTAACTTATTAGAAGTAATTGATTTTGCTTACTAACAAAATTTCCCGTTGATTTAACTCTTCTAAAATAAAGAGTTGTTATAATTATATACATTTAATTAATTTTTGAAAGATAAATTAATAATATTTTATCAAAGATAAAAAAAAATGTTAACAAAATTAAGGGTATATTTGGATAAGCACTAAACAATTTAATTAGGTATTTATTCAGTAAGTTTTTATGATATAAATTTGCTTAAGAAAATAATTGAAATAAATTTAAAATATTTTAACAAGTTATAAAAAATATAAAAATAAAATATAAATCTCAAATAAATGATAAGTTGTTTTCATAACTTTTTAAGATATTCCTTAAATATATTGACTTTTTAAAAAACTATCTATATTTTAATAAATAGTTTTACATATGAATATACAATATTAATAATTTAATAAAATATCTATGTTTTAAATATGTTTAATATTAGAAATTACTTCAAACTTGCATAAATATTGGGCGCATATCATACTTATTTTTATAGTTACCTCCATTAGATATAAGGGAAGATTATTAGCTTTATTTATTATAAAATAAAATAAGAGAAGTATAATAATATTATAAGAAATGAGTCTTCAATTTAATTTCGTTTGGCTTGAAAATTAAGATTTGAAAAATAATCCGATTTTAAAAATGATTTATATTTTCTTAATAATTTAAATATTTTCATGTTTTTTCAATTTAACAATTTAGAACACTTTATGTTGGACGTGAACACCCTACTTACCTATTGAATAATACCAAACATATGAAGGCTTATATAATTTGTTTACAATAATCTTGGCTAATTTAGATTATTTTTAAATTTGTACGCATATTATAAAAAATATTTATTTTATTTTACTCTCCCTGGAATGATTTAACATTTTATGACAAATATAAAGTAGCGTTTGTCTTTGAAAAATTACCATTCATGCCGTCCTAGAGGTGCAGTCAAGTCATCCGTACCAAGTTAACGAGTAATCATAAAGATGGACGTCACCAGTAACTATGCTCGTGAAATCTTTACTTCTAGAAACGAAGCTCGCACCTTTTTCTATTTTTTCAATATAATAATTTGAAATAGTTAAATAGTATTTAATGATCGGAACTCAATAATGAACTACAACTAATTATTATCCACCGCGAATAAATTTACGCCTTGTTAATGAAAATATTTATTAAAATAATAGATGACATGTAAGTAAAATTAAAATAAAATTTAAAGAATGCCTATTTTAAAAATACAATTTAAGATGGCATAGTGTGTTTTTTTCTCTCTAAAGAAAGTAAGAAACCATTAAAAGCTTATCACGGCATGGAAATTTTTAACTCATTAATAGATTATAAATTTAAATGCTCACTTTTAAACGGGAAAAATTGTAGGAATTTATTTTCAATAAACTTTGTGACCATTCCTATATCAAGTATTTCAATTTTATATATATAATTTAAATTCAATTTAAATAATATTTCTTAAAGTTATAAGATTTGAATGTATATTTTAAATTTTAACAACATATCATGTTAATAGACGTAGTTACATAAACATGATATATCTTAATCTAAATATTTTTTATTCACTTAATTTAAATATTTTGTTTTCATACACTTTCTCAAATTAAAATGTCTTATCTCTTTATTTAATTATATATTTAAAAAATAAAATTTTGATATATAAAAAAATGAACATTAGTTATTAATAATAAACACATTTTATGATAATAATAAAAAAATTTATTATACCTTTCTTTTTTAGCATACATTATTTTAGTTTTATTTAACAAAATATTATTTTAACACATATTTTATTTGTCTGTTGACTGAGCATTCAAGGACTCAAAGTATGGCGTTGGAAACACTTTATACGATATACCATGCAGTCGTTTGACAGTGCTATACTTACGCAAGGACAAACATATGAAGATATTCCTTTGACCATAATTATATTCCAATCAAATAACATAAGAGAGCATGTCAATGAATTTTTAGTTTTAAAAAAATGTTTAGTATTTCTCACTTGGGATCTTCTAATTCACACATTATCTTTATCTAATTTTAATTTAGTAATACTATACTTTTTTCTTACAAACAATGTATACACATCTTTATATTTTAAATTTAATTTCCAATACTATACTGTTTTGAACCGAATTTTGATAAACTAAAGTGTGGGGAATACTGGCCACTGTATCGCCCCAAATGGTCTTCCGAATTGTACTCTTAGTTAGCATTTATTTATTCTACTGTGAAGCATATCAAACTAGATACATGCATCTTTCATCAAGATGTTTGTTTTGACATTTTAAATTAAAAATTTAGTATTTTAAAAATAATGTTAGATTCGTACATTTGAGCTGCTTTGTTCTAGAGTAATACGCGTTTTCTCCTTGCAATCATCTTCCATATTTGTTCCATTTTTTTTTATAAACAAAATTTAAAGTAATTTCTTTATATAATTTTTTTTCAATTTTAAACGAGAATGTATTAATTATATTTTTGAAAATATTGATAACATATTTTTTTTACGGTAACTTAATGTTAAAAAAAGTTAACGTTTCATTGATCGATTTATCGATTTAAGGACTTGATGATACAAATATTAGAAATTTGACAGAAGTTGTATGATTTTTTTAAACTTATTTTTTTCTATAATATTTATTTATAATAATAAAACTTATAAATTTTCATAAAGTAACAGTATCGAACTTAAAATAATCCATAAAACGCAATGATATTTAAAATTAATTATTTTTAGACTTTTAAAGGCTCGTTTGATAAAAAAAAATTAATGAGATATCCAACTTCAATGAATTATTTTGCCAGAATTATTCATAATAATAAAAAAAATCCTCTTAACCATAAAATAAATCATTTCAAACGATAGATATTTTAAGGAACAATTAGTGAAATGAAAGTGAAAACAAAAATAAAAGTTATAATGAATCACACAATAACTAAAAAGAAAAGATAAAAAATATATTAATAAAATATATGAATTTTTTTTAAAAAATTATCGTAAAAGTAAAATTATTTTAAATAAAAATGATTTAATTATAAATTTCTCATGCATCAATCATGCGTCACATCAATAGGAATTAGATTTGTATTTAAAATTACTGGTATAATTTAAAACTCATGGGTGTAATTGAAAACGTAAGTATTCAGCAGTCACGAATGAGGATTTAAAAGCAAAATGAGAACATAAGAAAAAAAGTAGAAGATGAGAATGCCAATTGTCAAACTCAAAGCTATAACAAATTAAAATCTCTGAAAATGGAAGTAACATGACATTTAGCCAATGTCTTGATTCGAAAAAGCGCGTCTCATGAATCATTGGAGTGTAATGGTTATGGAGCAAAATTTCTTGGCAATTGGCTTTGAGTAAGTAGGACATCCTTCTACGCGGTTTCGCATCATCAGCGTTCCATGGGTCAGCCCACAGGAAATGGTGAAATATGACTCTGACGTTGACATGCTTTTCTGCTAGTTATTATATGCATTATTTTATTTTATTTCAATTTTATTCGTTGAGTTTAATTTTACTTTATTTTCAGTATACTGTTTTTTACTATTAATTAATTAAAATAAAATTTTAATATTATTTTTATATAAATTCTTATAAATCACATAATTTTTTATTAATATTGTAATCCATGATTGAATGACTCAGTGTATTTAAATTAAATTTTAACTCATTTAATACTTAAATAATAAACGATATCTTATAAAATTATAGGTTATGATAAGTAACATTTACAATTTTAGAGATTTAAAATAATATTTTACTTAATAATTACGTATTGCCTTTCAAGGTATAATTTTGATTATGAGAAATTTTTACCGATAATATAGTACATTAAATGAACAATTTAATTTCTATTAGATTAAATTCATGAATTTTCTTTTTTTTCTCTCTCTCTCTCCCTCCCTCTGTATATATGTGTGTTTTTGCATAGAATATATTCCGTATTCAGTTTTAAAAGTTATTTTCTCATTTTAAATTAACTACAAATAACGCCACTGACAAAGTAATAGTGTCTTTTTTGTTTACTAATAAATGTAATATTTTGAGTTTTTCGTTACCGTGTTTTTCATATTGCGTGCATACCTCTTGCTATACACAATTTCACTTTCATTTTTACTGTGGCTTTGAATTCCAGATAGCATTGTATCTTCAGGAGCTCTAGATTTTGTTTGATTTCCTTCTAAAAAACATTTTTTTAAATAAAATATAATATAAAATTATGTATTATATTTTATTTTATAAAAAACCATTTTTAAAAGAAAATCAAACAAATCATTAAGATATGTTTGATTTCTCTTTTTAAAACTATTTTCAGTTTTTAAAAATAAATTGTAATACAAATTTGTAGTACAATTTATTTTCAGTCTTTATTTCTCTTTCTGTTGATTTTTTTCGTAGCCTTTCTACCCCACCATCATTGCCTTCAATCCGTACTCTCTCTCTACTCCTTCTTTCCTTCGTTCCTCTTCTACACGTAAAAAAAAATTGTGAGAAAAATTAAACAGAAACAAATCCAAATTCTACAATAAGATATAATTAGTTTTTACAATTTAATTATACAAAATTAAATAAAAAGGTTATAAATTAATTTAAATATATGAGAAAAATTTGTCATAATTTATTTTCTTTACTACTAGTACTTATTATGAAACTTTTTTAAGTTATAATTAATTTATGAAGCTTATCTAAGCTTATTCACATTGAATCAAATCTCTGGTAAGATATAATTAATTTATACATTTAATTTATGAAAATGTTAAAAAAATTTATAAAAAAATAAAGTATTTAAATTAATTTAAATTTATAAAAAATTATTATATTTTATTTTTTCTAATGTAATTACTTATTACGAGACTTATCTAAGTTGGCTCTAAATTTTCGTTTCTACAATTCTATAGGTTGGAATTTATCAATCAACCTATACATATAATGAAGAAGAAGTAAAATCCTAATTTAAAGGTTGAAATTGTGTGAATCAGTGTTTGTTTGCTTTTTTGTTTTCTCAAGTCAACTTGGTTTTTTGTCAACAACCGAGAGTGTGATATAAAGAAAGTGCTCTGTCTAATTTGGATACTGACTCTGGAAGGCCCAATTTTGATCAAGGAGAGTAGGGGAATAGGTATGGTATGTTACGTGGACTATGCCGTAACAAAATAAAAATAAAAATAAAAATAAAAATAAAAACTGTTAACTAAGCAATTGAAATGCTTCTGATGCTGAAAGGAAAAAATATTTTTTTAGGACCAAATTAATGATACTTAAATTTGACAGATTTATCAAAACATATGACAATAAGATATGATATGCTATGTTTTGCTGCACTTCCAAAATAAAGTCAATTTTATTCTTTCAATATGACAACCACTACCCTGTATACTTCAAACATTAAAATAGAATATTACTCATCAATTAATTAATGAGAGTTATGATCAACAAAAGAGATTTCTACAGTCAAGTCCATAAAGTGGAAAATATGGAGACAGCGTTAGAAAAGAAAATAGACAAAAGTTACCGACTTGTTTGTTTGTGTTTTGATTTTTAATTTACTGTTTTTAAAGACAAAAAAAAAGAAAAAAAAAAAGAGAAGCTCGGATGAGGAATTTCAGTCACCGAAGACAAATTTTCGGAAGTAATGAACAGTAGAGAAGCCAGTAGGTCAATAAAGAGTCCTCACAATTATCATTGCATATAGTATTTCAGTCACCGAAGACAAATTTTCAAGATAAAAATTTGACCTTTGCAAAGGGACAAAATCATAAACCAAAACAACTGAACACCAACTCTCAATGGTAAAATTTAAATTCCAAATGACAATCAATTTATGCTGCATTAATTCATTATAATACAAAGGAAGATAAGGATAATAGGGGAACCGAAAGAGAAGAAAAATGACACCTCAATCCTCCATTTGTGTTTGACAATAATGTACAAGGTGCCGGCAGAAGAAAGAAACATTCAGCTGTCCCTAAAGGGTAATGCAGAGATAATATCATGTAATCTTCAAAGCTCCTGTTTTATGTTCGTAGTTGTGTTCTTCCTTCACACTGAAATGAACAGGATTAACACTTCTTCTAAGTCAACTTTGGCTATGTTCCAAACATTTACTGATTGAAGTCATGCCCATCAGGTCATGCTTTAGCACCAAGAAATGATCGCTGGAAGTCAGGAAAAACAAAAGAAAGGTGGTAAACATCACAGCCCAGAATTTGTCTTCATAACTTTCAGATAACTCCAGCACTTAAGATAATAGTTTCGGGACAAGCCTTTAAGTATACATATTTGTTTTATGATTTTATCCTTTTTTACTACATTAGTTTTTAGCATTATTGCTGAAACATGTGCAAGTTCTGGATTCAAGAAATCAAACTATACCTTGGCTTTTGCTGGAGTACTAGTCTTGGGTGCAGTTATGCTCCCAAAGCTAATCTTAGTCTTTTTATCCGTAGGCTTCAATATTTGAAAAGAGCACACAAGTGTCTCACCAACAGCCATCATAGCACCAGCATTGTCAAACTCCTCACAGTAATTAGGTGCCGAAAAGATAGTTACAAGTTGTCTATTAGCAAAGAATTCATATCCATCTTCCACAACCTACACAATGAGATATAATCAGCATACTAATTATACACTAGGATTTCTAGTCTTAGATATTATTATAATTGCATAATTTAAAAGTTATTGAAAAAACCTGGTGAGCTCTACAAATCAAATCAAGATCATGCTTCTGAAGGAATTCTGTGACCCTATCAGCACCAAAAGTATAGGAAACTCCACGTTCATTTTCTCCCCAACCTCGAACGTCACTACTAGGATCAGACCATAGAAGATCACATAGTAGACCAGTTTCAGGTACTTCAGTAGGACGTGGCAAAGTCCTTATCTGACTTAAGCTGTGTAACTCAGGAGAGAGTCCACCATGCATGCAGATTATCCTTTCATCAATGAGAGCGGCCACAGGCAAGCAATTGAAACAATCTGTGAACACTTTCCAAAGCTTGACATTAAATCTTCGTTTACACTCATCATAAAATCCATAGATACGGTTTATAGAAGCACATTCATGGTTGCCCCTCAGAAGGAAAAAGTTTTCAGGATATTTTATTTTATAAGCCAGAAGGAGACATATTGTCTCTAGACTTTGCTTCCCACGATCAACATAGTCCCCTAAAAATAAGTAATTAGAACGAGGAGGGAATCCACCATACTCAAAAAGCCTCAGAAGGTCTGAATATTGACCATGAATATCTCCTGTTTACATGGTGAAATGAAACAAGACATTAGCTTCAATCTTAAATTACAATATATAATTTTCATTTAAAAATAAAATTGGCAACAAAACTATTGATTACAAAATAAAATTAAAAAACTTCGAGCAGTGATTGAATATAAAAGAGTTTTAGTTTATATCAGAATTACGGTTAATTTATAAAACAAATCCTGTCACTACTTAAGTTTTAACTGCTTGATGATGACATTATGGGGTCATAAATTGGGAAAAACTTCTGTAGTGAAGCTAATACTTGAAATAAGTACACATGGATGTTAAAAATGTGGTATGTGAAACAGACACTTCGTTACATATAATGCAAAACACAATTCCTCCTAGGGAATTAAGACTTAAGACACTGCTGTGAGTCAATAATCGATTGGAATGAACTTGGATTAAAATCAGTTGGTGAGAGCTCTTCGACAAAATTAATCTTTATTAAACTAGCAATATATCAGTAGAAAATTGAAATTTGAAACAAGCATGAAGTACGAAATGTGGAAAAATCTTGCAAAAAGTGTTCAGAAAAATGATAGCAAGCAGAGTAAAGACAAAATAAAAAGGTAAACAGAGCATGAATGACTCAACCGTAAGCAGAAAACTTATGTCCCTGCAATATTTTTTTTGTATGTTACAAATCTCCATATCAGTACATATCATTGTGACAAATTGATAAAATAGAGTTTCTTGGCTTGTGCACAACTTAAATTATCTTAAGAAAACAAGTCCCATAGGTTTCTTTGAACATAACCATCAGCAATTAAGCTAACAACGAACACACATGTAAAGAAATATACATAAACTTGTTACAATTCAAGTATACAATACTTGGTTTTCCGGTTGAAGCTGCATGAAAACATTTCGGACAACAATTTATTGACGTGGAATACTGGAATCAGTAAGTTATACTATAATAAAGTGTATACCAAGTTACCAACAGACTTGGCTTTTCAATCATAGTAAATTAAGGTACTTGAATTACAGAGAGATCAAATTAATATTTCATTATTTACAAGTGAAAATATGTGACACATTTGCTAGGACCATTGACGAAGATAATTTCATTTCAACTCTGAACAAAATCATACACAAACGCCAAGCTATAACCCATCCGGACAAAGAAAAAGCTTCATACAGTAAGTAAGCTTTGAGGATTTTTCAAGTTGAATTGAGCATACTTTATGAAACAAATGAGAAGCAGGGACAGTTTAACATTCCCAAAAACATAATTTAACATTAGTTATTTTCTTTCAAAACGTGCCTCTTTTACTTTAATATGATAAATACAATGAATTTCAAAAATCTAATGTAGACCTCATTATTTAGAGCCCATATCAGAAATTAAATATTCTAATTCGAATTAACACGAATTGTTGCAAATTTGATCTTCACTTCAATGACAATAACTTTCTCTTATCCTATAATCTAAAACAACTTTAGACCACAACTGTTCTGTATGGACAGATTTATAGCCTTATGTCAGACATAACAATCCCAAACACTGCAACACCCCCCCCTAAAAAATAAGTCAAACCCGTGGAATGATCACAAGACTGACATGATCATATAACAATTAAATTGACTAAGAAATAGAAGGCAGGGTTGAGGAAAAAATACCACATATCTTAATTGGTGCCTCGAGTTCCAAGAGGTTGGGCTGCTTCATGAAGATATCCTTGGAGACAACACAAAGTTGCTTGATCTCTGACTCAGAAAGCTGCACCTGCTTCCCAGGTCTAGCTCTGACTTCAAGCAGCCTATTGATGATACTATCAAGAACCCCACGTTCCATTCTGAGTCTTAGGTTTCAAAAGTCAAGATAAGAAGCAGCAAAGTGAAAGGTAAAGAGGTAACTAAGGAAAACGGACAACAACAGTAGTTCGATGTTGTGGGTTGGTGGCTGTATGATCACTTTCGAAACAATAAGGAGAGAAGAAGTGGCTTTAAGTCAAATAGGAAGACCCTTTATATTATTGTTCTTCTTTTTCTTTCTTTATTTATTATTTTGGGCTTTGTTATTAGGAGAGCTTAAGGAAGGAATGAAGAGCGTTGAAAAGTGAAAAGTGAAGAATATATTCGAACGAGTAGAATGAATTCAGTTGAAATTGAAAAAGAAGAATAAAGTGGGAGAGTGGGGAGTGCGTTGCGGTCCCTTGAGTGGAAGGGAACTAAACATATCAAACTGGAAGACAAAAATATACATGCAAAGATGACGCGGTTTGAATCTGCATAGATTTGGCAATTGCTTGTTCCAGCATCATTCCTCCTCTCCTGCCAAACTAAACAACTCTATTGCTTAATCATCATACTAATTAATACTAATCTCCACTCTCCACCAATCTATTGGCCATGTTCGTCAACAAGTAAATTAAGTACCTAGCTACGTTTCCTCCCATCAGAGTCACCCAATTAGGTACAATATGTCCGATTAAAAAATATTTATAATTAAATTATAAAAATATATAAATATAAAATAAACTATGTGTAACGATATATAATTTTATTCTTTCTATAAAGATTCGTGTGTAGACATACTATATTTATACCAAACTTATGGATAGATGCTAATTAGTGACATAATTTATTTACACTAACATACACAATAATTGTTTTCCGTATGTAAATTGGGTTTACCCAAAAAAAAAATATTGTGTTTGCACATATTTTAATTCCTTTCATATTTGATTTCGCGATGTTCATATTTTACAATATAATAAGAAAGATTGCTTTATGAAAGACGAAGAAGAACATCTTGATTGCCAGGAATCGTGGGCTGGGCTGTGGGCCGCGTTTCTGGAATCTATAACGAAGTTTAGAGTTTGTATTGTGATTGGCATTCTCTGAAACGAATTTTGTGATAAGGTAAAATTAGGTTAAACAAACCTAAGAGAATAATGGCATAAAGCAAACTTGTAGGAATATTAAATAAAGTGGAAAACATGATAACGAATTTTTAAAAAAATGCTAATTGTTTGATGATTTTGGCAAAATGACTTTTACACGTTGTACCATGGCATATTTTTGCCCTGTTTGTGGGTAGGGCTGTTTTGTGATTCAATGCTGGGTTTTGGGAATTGGGGTAACTTGAAGGTCGACCAAAACAAATAATTCCGAAAACATTTAAAAATTTTGACCTATTTCTTTTAGTAATGTGATTATGCACATAATTAATTTCAAACACGTAGCCTAAAAGGTAGAAACCTGCCTGAATTCATTCTATACGTCTCAACGTGCATGTGTGTCAGCTATATACACAAATTACAGATAATGCTTTGATTGCCTTTAAAACTTTGGAAGCTATTACGAAAAAAAGACAAGGATCCGGTCAGTTTGTTTTCAAACTGAATGAGCAAAACTTTATGATAAGGTGGAATGATCTTCTTTTAAAGGCCATTATGAGTATATTGGGTTTTAGTGAAAGATGGGGTTCCTCTGATCCCACGAGTAATGCAATGTGTTACCCATCGGGCCCAATTGGCTTATTCCTTCTAGTCTCACCACAATAACATGTAATTCTTTCAATCAATGGAAAATGCACAAAAAAATCTCATACTCAATTTCTGATTTTTTCCTAAAGTCACTTAATGTTGTTTATAAGATTGGAGTTTCATCAAAACCATGTCTCCAACTTGAAACTCAATGTGCTTCCTTCTTTGGTCTGCATAATTCTTTATATATTGTTGTGTATTGTGTAGATTAGCTTTCAATTTGTTAAGAAATGAAGTCCCTATGTAATTATTCTTGGACAGTCAAAGTCAAAGGATCCTTACTATCAAGAATATACTTTAATAAATGGGGAGGTTCTTGCCATAAACAATGTTGAATGATGTCATACCATTACTATGACGAGCAGTGTTATACTAATATTCTGTCTATGATAACAACTTAGTCCATTTCTTAGGTGACTCACGTATGAAACACCTCTGATACATCTCAAAACATTTGTTAAGAGTTTCAAACTATCCATTAGTTTGTGGATGGTATGTAATACTCATTTTAAGTGTACTTCTACTAAGTTTAAATAGGTGCTACCAAAATTGACTTGTAAAAACTTTATCCCTATTCGACACAATGGCCTTTGGAATGCCATGTAACTTAACCTCTTTCTTTATGAACAACTTTGCCACTTGCTTGCTATTGTAGTTTTCCTTTAAAGTCAAAAAATGAACATACTTTGATAATTTGTCAATTACTACCATGACGACAGAAAATCTATTAGAAATTAGAAGGTTGGTAATGAAATCTATTGCCAAATCTTCCTATATTTGACCAGGGATTGGCAATGGTTGTAACAACCTTGAGGGTAAGGTTGAATCTATCTTAGGCTTGCCAACAAATTATTACAATCGGATAGTTGTAATGGTACGACAAAAATATTTTTTTAAAAAATAATAGAGTCGCAACCAAAATTTATCAAAGAAAACTTTAAAAAAATTTAACATTTTGATCTTTGAAACCAAAAATAGATTCAAGAGTCATTTACGTGTAGGAAAGATATTAGCATCCTACAATGTCTATTTAAATAACGGTTACTTTAAATTAATGATGCAAATTTATTATAACTTTGAAAAGTATTTATTTAACCCCTTGAAAAATAAATGTTATTATTTTTATTTTAGAGAAAGAAAATTTATTTATTAAAATATTAAGTTATATTTCAGAAAAGAAAAAAAAATATTTTTAAAAATTATTTTGACTCGATGGATCTAATTCTCGCTCATACATATTTCCGGGTGCAATGGAAAATTCAAAGACACTTAGTTTTATATAAAAAAAATTATAGAATTATTTTATTAATTAGAAATTTATAAGATTTTAAGAGAAATTTTGAAATTAATTATATTTTCTTAAAAAATGAAATAAAAATTGTTTATATCTTTGAGGAGGCAAGATGACGCAACTATACATATTATCCTATGATGAACAATAGGAAAGGCGAAGGAAAATCATACATCCATATTGTAAGTAATTGTAAAAAGTGTGGTAATTAAGATCAAATATTTTAATTTATGAGAAAGTATTTTTAATATATAATTTAATTTAAAATTTTAATATTTGAAGAAATTAAAGATAGCGTAAGCTATACATAAATATCTCGTGACTTATTTGTCAATTGAAGGCAAATGTAAGTCACACATCTATGTCGCAAAGCATTATATGATAAAATGAAGAAGTATACTTAAATAATCGAATGTTTAGTTATTTAGTTTATTAAAGTTGGAAACATGATTTAAAATTTTTAAATATAAAATTAATTATATTTAATGAAAAATATTTAAAGAGAACATATTAATATATTTAAATTGATTAGTAAAAATAGACATTTAATTAAAGGAAGTTAAAATATATTTTTAACAAGTTTGTATTGCGTGAGACTAAAATAATATTGGTATATGAAGGTCTCAATAATTTAAAACGTATAAAGGTAAAGATGCTATACAATGATGTTATAGACTGCTGAATTAAATTCGTTAATAAATTAATTTCTTAATTATTTATTAATTAAGAGCATAAATTTTTAAAAGAAGATGTTTAGATTAATCAATTTATAAATTACTATATCAATAAAATTATTATTATTATTAACTTAATTAATAAATCAATCATTTGTTGATTAAAATAAATATTTTTTAAAGGATATAGTTTAGAAAGGTAAAATAATTAGTAAAATATTATTTAACTTAGCAAACTTATATTACATGAAGTTAACGATAACGTAGATATACATTAACTTCAATTATTTATAATGTATAAAGGTATAGATGTTACACGTTAATATTATATATCATTACATTAATTAAATGAATTAATTTTAATTTCATAAAAATATGATGTTTTGATTAACTAATAAGATGAGATAAATAAAATAATATATTTTAATTGATGAACAAATTATATATGAACAAATTTTTATTTTTAAAATAATTTTTTATATTATTTAATAATAAGAATGAGGAATATTTTTAGACATATATAAAATTAAATTAAGTAAATATATAATTTATTAATTTTGAAAGTAAGATTTTTTTTAAGATACATTAATAATACATATGACATAAGATAACATAGGTATACATATGTCTTGATAATTTATAACAAATAAAGGTAGAGTTACTATGCAATAGCATTATAAACTGCTGCATTTATATGATTTTAACTTAGTTAATGAGTTAGTATATTAATTATTTAATAATTTAAAAAATAAATTTAAGATTTAATATAAAATAAACTTGTATTTAAAATAATATATTTTAGTTAATAAAGTGGGTATCTAATGAATAAAATATGTTTTATTTATTTTTTAAATATTTATATATTAGGTGAAACTTAAGATAATGTAAGTATATATAAGTCTCAATGATTTATAATGAGCAAAAGTAGAGTTGTTACACAATGAGTTATTAACTTGTTACATTAGTAAATAATTTTGATTTAATTTAACTAATTAATAATTAAATATATTTGGTTGGTTAATAAAGTAGTTACTCGATTAATTAAATTTATGATATGACATATTTATTTAAAATAAGACCTATGATAACGTAGGTATAAACAAATCTCATCAATTTATAAAGTAAGATAATAAAGAAGCTATTTGTCATGCTATAAGTTAATGTAAATACTTTATTTACTCATTTATTTGTTATATATTATATGATTTTAAATAAAATATAATTCACTAATCATGACATAAAATATAAACCTAAATAATATTAAATAAAGTAGTTATAATGATAATAATACCAATAAAATAAACAAGATAAATGAATAGCTAAAATAGAAACAATGAAATAGCATAAAATTTAAAATAAAATTTTAATCCTCAAAATTAATTATATGCACTTCAATATCATTATTGATGTTATTAATTATGATGATAAAAATAAATTAGTTTAAATAATAATAATAATAA